AGGGATTTAGAGAAGAAAGATGCTTACAGCAATCTTGCAATGTATGATATTCTTTGAATGAAAATCCCCATTCCTTAATTTTAGTAATAACTTCCTTCAGCTTATGACAATTAGCTGTCAAATGATCTCTATTTTCTGCAACATTACAGTTCCTTGGGCAAAGATTTATCATTTGCAATCTTCTATGTTCCAGGAAATAATTGGTAGGCAATGCATTATTAAAGATCCTCCACCAAAAAGTCTCCACCTTTGGAATGAGTTTTGCTTTTTTTATCCATCTCCAATAATAAGCCGTAGGAATGTGTTTTACAGAATTTTCAAAAACCATAGCTGATAATGATTTACCATTGCCCTGAAGTAAGAGCTCCATTTTATCATCTTCTTGATTTATCGGGTTAATGGTTTGTAAAATCAGATTTACAAGATCTTCACCCATAATCCTTCTCATTTGATCCACATTCCATCTACCATTCTCTCTATAATGTTTGAAACAGGAAATCTATCATCTTCTAGAGGAGAAATGAATGTTGGCCACTTATTCAAACTTTTATCTAATATCCATGTATCTCTGTATACATCAATGTCAATGCCATTTGCTGCCTTCCATCTAATAAATGGCAATAATGATTTACCACCGGTCTTCAAGATTTTCCATGAATTAGAGCAAGAATTTTTCAAATCTATCTTATCAAGTAGATTTCCATATTTGGGAAAGAATACTTTGTGAAGAAAGGAATCTTTCTCATATAAATATTTCCATGCCAATTTGGATCTTAATGGGCCAACTTTAGTAGAACAAGAGTGAAGAGCTCTACCTCCCCATTTGGTTGGTAAACACATAGTTAACCAGTTAACATAGTGTATTCCATAGCCTCCATTAGATTTGTTCCAAATAAAATTTCTACAAATTTTGTCCACCTCATCTAGAATACTCTTAGGCACAAGAGAGTTAGTACAATGAAAGGTGGTGAATGAAAGCAAAACTGTTTTAGATAAAAGAATTTTTCCAGCCAATGAAATCATCTTACTTCCCCATATGTTAGTCATCTTCAATGCTTTATCAATAATAAAATGAAAATCTTGTTTAACTAACCTTCATAAAGTTAGAGTAACTCCAAGATAGGTTAATTGATTTACAGATTTAAAACCCAACAAACGGTTGATGGCTTTCTTTCTCCTTCTTCTAACAAGTTTGTTGAATATCATGGAAGATTTGTTTGAGTTGATAGACAAACCTGTCCAACTGCAGAAATTATCCAAGATTTTTTTAATTTCTTTGGTAGCCTTCAATGTAGCTTCTGAAAATATGATCACGTCACAGCATATAGTAAGTGAGATATGGAAGGCCCATTTGAAGAAACCCGAACTCCCAATGCATCACCTTTTTGTTTGAAGGCATTAGAAAGCAATTGAGCACAAATGATGAATAGATAAGGAGACAAGGGGCACCCTTGTCTAAAGCCACATTGACCTTCAATCCATTTAGATAAGCTACCATTTATAGAAATTGAGAAATTGGAACTTTGAACACAATTTAAAATCAGCTTAGAGAAGTAATCTGGAAAACCGAAATAATGCAAAGCTTTTTCCAAGGTTGTCCAACCCATGGAATCATAGGCTTGTTCCATATCAATTTTGAATGCCACAAAACCTTTTGAAGATTTAGAATTCCTTAGTTTATGTATTACTTCTTGGGCAATCAACACATGATCATTTAGAGATCTTCCTTTGATAAAAGCATGTTGTATGCTTTTTGCTGATGATATTTTTCTGGTTGATAAGAGTGGAGGAGTTGAAGGTGAACTTGAATTATGGAGTTCAAACTTAGAGTCTAAAGTTTTCATTTGAGTAGATCTAAAACAGAATATATGGAGTGTAATTTTAGTAATAATAGATCTAGTGAGGTGATTGTGACTTTGGGCGATCAAATCATTAATAAGAGCACTCGTTTAAGATATATTAGGTCTATTGTTCAAAGTGATGATGAAATAGATGAGGATATTATTAAAAGAATTCAAGGGATAAATAAAGTGGAGGAATGCATCGGGCTTGTTGTGTGATTAAAAAGTCTCTCTCAAACTTAAGGAAAAATTCTATAAGATGGTAGTGAGACCTGAAATGCTTAATGATGCAGAATATTGGCCATTAAAAGATAAGCATAATATTAAGTTAAGTGTTGGCGAGATGAGGATACTCAGGTGGATGAGTGGCTTTACTCTCAAAGACAGTATACGAAATGAGCATATATGTGAAAAGGTTAGAGTAACTCCAGTGGAAGATAAGATTAGAAAGAGTCACCTTAGATTGTTTGGTCACATAAAACGACGGTCTTCCGATGACTATATATAATAAGCTAAAAAGCTCAGTACGTCACCAAAACATACAACTGAACTCAAAGCATACTAAATGAGTAATATGCATGTCAACGATCAAATCATAGTAGTACTATTTATATGATCATTGAATCAGTATAAAAGTAATAAAACTCACAAGAAATAGCAGTAAAGTCTGTAAAGCAGTAAAATAATATGGCACGGAAGCCAGTAAACTAGTATAGTGGGAAAAGCAGCAAACCAATATGGGTGTCAAATTAATAAAGTAGTCATCGTATCAATACTATCAATCAATAAAGAAATCGAATAAAGCGATTAAATAAAAATATCCATAAAGGCTATCAGAATTATAATCATATAAGAGTGTATACATACATTTTAGTAAAATCCATACGGTGACAATAAATTTGTACAGTGAATAGTAAAATTGTATAATAATAATGAATCAATAACATGCATTTTAGTAATCATAATAAACAACTAAAAAGTCATGGTTTAATCTGTGCTACTCTAGTATCGTATCATTATTAGTAAACCGTTGGCTCAATAAACAAAGTCGTTACTCTTTACCCATCGGCACAATAATAACTCCTTATAACTCTCAATAATTGTATCGTTGTATTGGATAACATAAAACTATAGTATTTAAAGGAAAGTCTGTTGACCCACCATCCTATACAGATCAATCAATCTTCAACCAACAAGTCAACCAGTCTTTACTTTTCTTTTACATACATTATTATGACAATAACATTAATAGCGACTAGCTATTACTCAATCACATACACATTCATTTCCAATGCATTATAGAAATTAAAGAATAATTGGGCATACTTTATAAAGCGACAAAATGTCATAACGATAGGCAACAGAAAACCCTACTAAGAAGACTTTCAAATTTTCAAAAAATTAATCAAATTACTATACATCATATATAATAATATTTAAAAACTTTAATTAAACTTAAGTATTATTTTTAGATGTTAAAAAAATTTAAATTAGCAAAAAATTATAAAATTATTTTTTTAAATCACCTAGCAAAAAATCATAAATAAACATTCAAAATGTTTGTAATCTTAATTTCTATAACATATAAAGAGTTATGTGAAGAAAGTTTTACCAATACAAAATTATTCTCATTTTTTTATAACGAAAATAAAAATTTGATTGAAAAAATATCAAAAATACTAAATCATTGAAATTAAAAATAGAATAATAATTCCTTACAATGAGATGAGTGAATCTCCCAACAAGGTCATCTGACAAAAATCGTTTCAGAACTTCCAAACCCTAGGTTTTTTTTCTCTCTCCTCTATTTTCTCTCTAAATTTTCTAATTTTTCTATGTTAGCTAATTTTAGGAATTAGAAATGGATTTTAATAAAGTTATGCTAAGTAACTTAAGATATTTATAAATAAATAATAATATAATATTAATATAATTATATAATTCAATCAATTTTCAATATAAAATTTATACGTTATTTTGGGGCTTCAAAAATTATTAAAAAAATATCCATATATTTAGAAAATTCTAATAAAATTGGTTTGCAAAACGGATACCTAACTGTCTCAAAACCCCCACTTGTATCGACAGGTATCAATTTTTTAAGAATTTGCACCAATTCCCAAAAATAATGAAAAAATTAGTGTAATTAAAACAATACAATATCTATATTATGGCGAAAATGATTTATGATTTGGACTTAGAATGACTTTTGAAAAATTTTATTTAACTAGACCAAAATATGGACTATTACAGGTACACTCTACTACTGCACCGAGACACGTGAACAACATAGTATTCAACAAGAAAAAAATAATAATTTTCTGCCCACAGTTGATCAAATTGAGAAATACTAAGTTGAATAATCACATTCCTAGTTATGATTTTTTTAATTTTAAACAAAAACGATAGGTCTACATGGAAAGCATGACTTGTTGGAGAGTATGCATGCTTGTTGATAGTTGTTTCATAGTCTGTTGTAAAGCAATGTCAAGACTATAGTATTCACTCTTAAATAAATACATCATCACTTTGAAAAGTGCCAATATGCACATAACATTAACATCTTTCTATATGATTGTCTTCATTAAATGATGTCGCCCATTGTCTTCATTAAATGATGTCGCCCATTGTCGAGTAATTATAGCAATATGGGTATTCAAAATCCTTTTCATCACTTCCACCATGATTAAATTTTCTGTACAGTACAGCTTCAACTAATGAAATCTATTTTCAAGCATGAACTTTTCATCAAGATTAAAAGCCAAACTTAGATGAAAATTTATGATACAATCACCTCTAAGCTAATGTTTTGGAAGGCTAGCAGATCTATTAACAGGATTAGACATTAAGCTTTCTGGTTTGATTACTGGAGGTAACCATATGATGGTTTCCTACGTTCACACCATACTAAAATAGTTTTCAAAGTATTTTTTGCTAACTAATCTAAATACTGTTAGTAGGGAAGATTAAAACTACAGCAGAGTAAGTTAAATAATCCGATATCAAGTATTGTTAGAAAAGAATAAAATCGGGAAGTCTTCATTAAATTTTAAAATAAAAAGATCAAGACAGAAACTATCAACCCCATTGCAACAGAAAGAGAAATCACTTATAATAAATCTGAATGAAGTACTATAAGAATATTAATACAAAACATACTTGCTCGAACCTATAAGTAGGATAAAGAAAATATTTTGACTCGTCATGTGTTCCAACAGAAATATTCACAGGACCCCTAGAGTACGATCCATCCTGCAAATTAACAGCATAAGTAAATGATCACAGCTAGCACAACAAAATTTTATGACAAAAATAAATTCCAACTAATATCATACAAGTTCAACACGATGAATAAAATTTCCACAAAGAACTGTTGGTTTCCGTAATTAATGCAAAATGGTATGAATTTCATCAATCTCTAAAAGAAACTTCCTTCAAATTTACAGATAGCAATGTAGCGAACAATTAGTACTCAGGTACAATATAAGCCTGATAACCGAATAAAATCTGGATTTGGATCATGTAGAAGTTATTAAAAGCCAAAAAAAACTATTTGCATGATCTCAAACAACTCAGTTATTCCTTCTTTTTCATATTAGCTCAAGAAAAAGAGAACATCCAGCAAGCCAAAGTAGCCCAAGAAAAATGGCAAAAAAATTTATGCAAACATGAGGTAATCCCCTTAATAAAGCTCCAAATATGTCACGAAAAGAAGAGTAAAACTGAAAATTTGATTATTAATTTCAGTAGGGTTTAACATGCGTTGTACAAAACCAACTGATCTAGTAGGAGAAATGAATTCTTGGCTTCCAGTAAAACCAATCCAACATGGCAATGAATAGTTAAATTTTAAGAAACCGATTTCATAAGACAAAGATGTAAAAAAATACCATATATTAAGGTTGGACAGGAACACATAGCAGAATGAATAAAACACTACACAAAACAAAGAAATATACAACTTGAAGGCATCCTAAAACGCAACCAATTCATGCGGCATACATGTATCAAATAGATGAAACAAATAAGTTTTCTTTTTAACTGATCTGCATATGACTTGCATCTTCCATCTTGTGATTTCCCATGTTTATTCTATATTAGTAACAAGAAAAAATAAAAAAAAACTGAACAGTTCTTGGACGAGGTGACTTTATGCCTATAACTACATGGAAAGATTCCAATAAAATTAATGAATATGGCAGACACTGTTATGAGTTTATTACACAACGTAACAGTTTGATGCTTCAACTAAAAGACTGATGCACACACATTGGACAGATGATCTGAATATTAAAACAATGTTGATTATTCATAATCATCATCCTCATTATTAAAACTACAATTAACACGGAGAAAAAAAAAATCAATCCTTCTAAGTCATTAACTAAGACCAAATAGTACAGTTCTTTTAGAATAAATACATGGTAAAGTATGCCAAACAGGAAAATAGTGGATAATTATTTGACATATGAAATTACATCAAAGGAATAAAAATAAAATTTGAAAGGTTAACCTGGGTGACATTCAACTTAGTATGAGATCCTGATGTGAAACCAACATGAATTATAAGGAAATAACAAAATTATTGTAAGCTTGCTACTTTAAGATCAATGAATCTAAAGAAATAAATTTTAAGAATTACCCGTTGAAGCTTTTCTCTAGCATGCAGTTACAGTTTTAGGAATACATATCAATTTAAAACAATAACAAAAAATACAGTAAAGCGAGATGTACTGAAATAATAATCCACTGGTTAATATCAAAAGCTTTCACCTCGAGTTTCCCTTTCTCACTCACGCTCTATGAGTGACTTTAGTGGCGAGAAACCTTTAGCAAACCAAACGATGCCACTAGGAGGGTGACGATGCCGATGGTCTTGATCCACAAGAGAGTAGCCGGAGAAGGAAGCACAGGTGGACGTCCGATGAGAATCCACTGTCCGGATGGTCATTGTTTGTCGATCATCTCAGCGAGATGAAATAGTATACGATCTACGTAGTCTTCGACATAATCTTCAAATTCCTAGTCGGGATCAAAGAAGGGCAATTGAAGGATGTCGATTTGCCCTCGAGAATTGTACACAAATCTGTGGTCGACTTCAGGATCTGTCATCCAAGAACATGGGAGTATTCGTGGTTGTGAACCTTGGAGGAGCCGTCGGTGAGCGAAGGGAGAATGAAGGATGGGCAGCGGATTGGGGTGCTCAGGTGGAGCAGAGATCGGCTAGGGTTAGGAGGGGTTAGGGTTTTCGGGTGGAGGAGGGGATGGTTGGGTTAGGAGGGTTTGGGTTCTTTTAATTACCAAGGAAAGTAATTAATTAAACGAGTTAATGGAGGAGAGGGAAATTAGAATTCAATTCGAATTCCAATTTGGGTCAAGGGAGGGGCAGGCAGCATATATGAGAAAGGAAGGGATTGGAGGGAGATTCAATGCTTCCTAATTCATGATATTAAATTAGGAATCAATTCAAGGGATCAAATTTAATTTAAATTTAAATAAGATCTTAATTTAGGTGCTTTCCTAATTTAGATGAGTTAATTTAGGAAAGTATTTGAGAATTCAAATAGGACTAAATTCTTTCCAAAATTAACTTAGCTAATTTAGGCAAGCAATAATGATGATTCAATTCATCATCAAGGGGATCCAAAGTGGGGGCCGGTGGCTAGGGTTCGGGTTGGGTGAAGATGGGTTGGGTTTGGGAGGGTAGGCCGGCACTATGGTGGGAGAAGGGAGAGGGGCCGACAGGTGAGGGGAAGGGGAGGTTGGATGGTGGCCGGCAGGTGGATCCCAGGGAGGGTATGGTCGGAGGCTTGGCACAAGGGGGGATGGATATGGTCGGCAATTTGAACAAGGGAGAAGTCGGACCACGAGCCCGGAGCAACTCCGTGACTGGTGGGTATTACTTTGCCCACACTTGGGATTTCACCACTCAAGAACTCGCAAGCTCAAGAGAAAGATTCTGAAATTTTATTAAGCAATCATTAAAACCTAATACAAAGTTTAGGGCCTCTATATATAGGCCTTCACAAAGAAGAAAACTCAAAGACAAATATGCCCTCTAAGCTACAACTCACTAAACTCACATAGGGGTGCAAAGGTCAACCAAAATAAATAATAATAATAATACTAATACAATAACATAAAATAACTCATAAATAGATGCTCCTGATCGTGGTCATCGATCTGCGATGTCTCTATTATCCCAGGGTGAGAGAAAGCTCGACCCCGCCGAGTAACTGTCTCGGGAGCTCTCTTATAACTCCAGAAGATCGGGGTCCAATCTCTGAACTCTTCGCAATTGATCCACGTGTTCTCCATTTCTAGTTTACCTGCCCATTGAACCAAATACCCTTGGCACCTACCTTCTTTAGTAGAAATGATTTCATCGTCCAATATTGCTTCGATCTTCTCCGCATTAGGTAAATGAGACAAATTGAGGAGTGCAGGTAGGCTAGGGTTTTCACTGCGTAGGTTCACACAAGGCTCATATAGTGGATTGGTAAGGTTAAACTCTGGTCCCTCAAATGCTACTAGATCTTCAATATTAAACATAGGATTTATATTAAAACCTTCGAAAAGATCTAGCATATCAGTATTACTACTTATTTTTGAAATTATTTTGAAAGGTCCTGCACTCCTAGCATGCAACTTTTTAACGGCTACTTGAGGGAACCGCTCCGGACGAATCCATACCATTACAAAATCTTCAACTTCAAATTCTTTAAATCTTTTAATGCGATCAGCATTAAGCTTAAAGTTGGCGTTGCTTTGTTCAATTCTTTTATTAATTTTCTTCTGCGATTTCTGTAGATGAGATGCGAATGCAGATACAGCTCAGATGTTCTAATCTTATGACACATAGGGATTAAATCTATAGGCTGTCTAGGCTGGTACCCGTATACAATTTCAACAGGACTTAAACCCGTGGTACGATTAACTGAGTTGTAGGAAAAATCAGTTATTGGAAGTTTAGAGTCCTAGTCCCTAATATTCTCTCCTACCAAAATCCTTAATAAATTTCCTAGACTCCTATTCACAACTTTAGTTTGTCCATCTATTTGGGGGTGAAAGGCAGTAGAGAATTGAAGTTTGGTTCCCATTTTGTGCCATAATGTTTTCTAGAAATAACTTGTAAACTTAACATCTTGATCTAACACAATGGTTTTGGGTAACCCATAGAGCCTAACAATTTCATCGAAATACAATTTAGCAATCCTAGAGGCATCGAATGTTTTGGAGCATGGGAGGAAATGTGCCATTTTTTAGAATCAATTCACTACTACACACACAGAGTCATGTTTCCTAACAGTCTTGGGTAACCCTAAAATAAAATTCATGCTAACATCCTGCCAAGGGCAGTTGGGTACAGAGAGGGGTGAGTAGAGTGCAGTGTTTTGTTTCAGGTTCTTAGCTAACTGGCACGTGTAACATCTCTTTATCGGCTGGTTAACATCGCACTTAAGACTAAGCCAGAAAAATCTATGTTCAACCACAGCGATAGTGTCCAACTAAACCTCCTGCGTGTAATTCTCAAAAGAGGAATTCTCTAAATGAGGTGTTGGGGATGCAGAGTCTTTGGGACTTAAATAAATATCCGTCTACCAAAAATAAATCATCAATTATACGTTCAATTCCAGTGGTCAATAAGGCGAATGTCTCTTTGAAGTCAGGGCAATCCATATAGTTTTCCTTAATTTGTTTGAATCCAATCACTTCTGCTCTCATTTCTTTAGTTATCATTATCCGACGACTTAAGGCATCAACTGCCTTATTTTCATATCCTGCATTATGTCTGATTGTATAAGTATACTCTTGAAGGAATTCAACCCAACGACCATGTCATGCATTGAGTTTCTTTTGAGAATTTATATATCGCAAGGCTTCGTGGTCAGAAAAGATAACAAATTCTTATGGGAGTAGGTAGTGTCTCCAATACCTAAGGGATTAGATAATAGCGTAAAATTGCTTATCATAAGTGGAGTATCGTTGTCTAATGTCATTTAACTTCTCACTAAAGTAGGCAACAGGGTATCCTTCTTGAGATAAAACTCCACATATGCCAATAACAGAAGCATCACAAGTTACTTCAAAGACCTTGAAAAATCAGGTAAACGCATAACTAGGGCCTCTACCATTCTCTTCTTTATCTAGTCAAAGGCTTTAGTGGCGGATACAGTCCAATGAAACTCTCCCTTTTTCAGACAATCAGTTATAGGTTCTACAATAGTGCTAAAGTTTCGAATAAACCTCTG